GCCCCTCGGCCGGAGGATGGCGGCGCAGTGTGCCCAGGAGAGCATCTATAACCTCCTGCCCCGCCTGGAGGAGAAGACTGTCAAACCTCCCAGGTACGTGGGTGTGACAGCACCACTTGCTGACACGGTGACTGGTTCTGGCAAGGCCATACATCGTACGGGTTACAGGTATTAAAAAAAAAAAAATCTAGTTTTTGCATAGTTATTGCTCCTCCTAATGAGCCACTAACAAACATCTGAGGGTTTACAGCCTGCTCCGTGAGCTGATGATTCGGTTTGGTATATTCAATGCCATCTTGTTCATTGACAAAAAACTTACAAAGCACTCTTGGCACACAGAGGAATTACACGACATCGTTGTTATTCGCACTTGCAACAATTTTTCAGTGAGCAGCTGAAAAGTCGGTTTTTTTCTTTAATTTTTCTCAGTGCCACACTTCCGTTCTTTTCATGTGTCAAGTGTGTCTTCTGACATTGTTTCTTTTGCTTCTCTTTCTCACCCCTTACGTTAAAAACGCCTTTTGCCCCCCTAGTATTAATTCCTTTGAGAGTTTTTCTAAAGTTCCTATTTGATAATTATGCAAATATATGTTGTTTTTTCAGGTCCCTATTATTTTATATGAAAGCAAGCTGTTACAGTTAGCACTTTCAGTGAAAGGTTAACGTAGGTCATAACTCAATAGCTTTAAAATGAGTAGAAATATCAGTGACACTCCTTAGAACAAAGATAGTTATCCCTTTTCAGGTAAAAGGATTTAGACTTGTGAGATTCCTAGTTCTGAACCTTTTCCATGTAAAAATAGATAATACATCTTTTTTTGTTTCCAATGTGAATGAAAGAGACTTTTGGCAGACAGAGGAAAGTGAAATGACAGTATGGCAAGGCACGCAGCAAACTAAATCCATTCCTGTCTTAATACCATTCAGGGATTTGGATACTGCATGACCACCAGGTTCAGTTTAGGCAAGGGATTTCTTAGGTTGGATGCAATCTGATAAATCCCCTTCTGATCTCATTGACTTCTGTTGTCACCCCACTTCCTGCTTCGGTTCGCAATGTGCCAAATATCCGGCTGGTAACAAACAGTGTGGAACCTGGTTAATAGCATGATCTGACCAGTTTGAACTAATGCATACAAAATCTAGGGTCTTTTCTTTTCAAATGAAATCATATATATTTCACTCTCAACTGACCAGGTACCGTTTAGGAAACCAAGGCAAGCGTCCTCATTTTCCCCAACTTTGATGTCCCAAGACAACACCTGAAGAATAGTAACTGTCTTCTTACAAATGTATTGTCTTTTTTCCCCTTGCCAAATGATGAATGGATTAAGATTCTGAAGTCCCCCGTAACCATGTTTTCTTCCTTGGAACCCTCTCTAACCCTACAATATTGGTGTATGACAGCATATAGCCACTTTCTTGGCCTGAAAAGTCACTGAAAAGATACAACTGCCACATCTCTTTGTCCAAAGGAATGCCTATAGCTGTCTACAAAAGACATCTTTACCTTATGCCAATATGTAATAAACTCAAAACCTTCCTCTTCACTTTCTCATTCCAAGGCTGTGTGAACCCTACAAGGTCAAACTCCTCATAAAGTCACTACCTTTCTCTACTGTGTGGCTACAGTGCCACTCCTAGCAAATGGTGAGGAACGCAATAATTTATGAATGTAGTGGGTTTGTGCCTATGTCTATGGCTGTTTGCTATGAATTTAACAGAAAAAACCCCCTACCTCATTCCTTATAATTAGAGGTATTTCTGGAATTATATATAATCTTATGTACATAATCCTCTTTCTGATTTTGGAGACCAAATATCCAGAAGACAAAATAACTCCACGTTTTTAATGAAGTCCTCTTACATTTTCTAATGTTATGATCAAGTACAAATACATGTATCGGACATTTGCAGCTTAAAAAAAAAAAAAAGCTTTTATCAGTGTTGCTACTATGACTCCCATTCACTGGCCCAGCATTACATCCTTTCTCTCATCTTATTTCAGTATTTCCATAAAATAGGTTGCATTATATGTAATCTTCTTGTTCTTTTTGTCCTTACCTGAAAACACGGTATAGTTTTTTCATAAACACTTACATTTTTTCTGTGAAAGAAGAGCACAACTGTTCATCAGCTTTTGTCTACCATAAATTAATATGACACATTTCCTGAAGGTGGACAGATTTTAAAAGGTACAATGGGGTAGCCTTAGCTTCAGGAGCAGGGAGTTCTGCTCCTTCAGGAAAACATCTGTGACAGCTCAGTCCTTCAGATGGAGGCAAGATGCTGCTAATCAGCTAATGATCAGCATTTGGCTTCTTTTGGAGAAGATGTTTGCATACTTTTGATTAAAGCAGAAGTTACAGTGCCACATGCAACATTACACCAAAGCAGCAGTGTGTGCATACCGTGTGCATACAGCTTTTCTTGTCTGAGCCCTTACTGATTTTCACATTAGCCATTTCAGTGCCAAAACCACCACTGATTACAGTAGTTCAGGATCAGAGTTAGGATCTGTGTAATATAAGAAATACACAGTTTGCTCTGCTATTTTGGAGCAGTCATCCATCTTGTCTAATCTCTTATAATAGTCTGTAACAGATGGTTCAACAGGAACATTGAGACAGTGATAAAGTGGACAGTAATGAGATAAACTGATGATCAAGGACATTCTGTCCAACTCTAGTCTATGTTTGACATGTTTTCTGAAGCATGAGGTCTTACATACCTCTAAAATATGTTTCATGCCATAGAATGAAGCAGTGAATGTTCTCATTATCAATACAGATCTCATCTTTTTTGAAGCCAGCTAAGCTTCTCCTTAGATGAGTTTGCTGCGTAAGGCCCTACAAGGTACTGCAACTGCAGCTTCTGAAACGGCCGAGATAACGGCATTTGCGTCTTTCCTATACTACAAACTTTCAAATATAGAAAATCTAGCAAAGTAGGTTCATGATTACTATTTTCCCATAGATGCACAACAGCTGCATATTTTGGATGCATTTTTGAACAAAACAAATAGCCACGTTAAAAAAAACTTGTCAAAATGGTGTTAATTAAAAAATGAAGACCAAAGTGTGTAATGTGTGCACAACCTCATAAAAATAATGAATTCATGCAAGCAGTTTATTTCCAAAATTTATGTTTTGTTCAGTTTCAAAATGTCTGTGTTCAGTATTTATATGAACAGTGCATATACAGGAACCGTTTCCCGAAGTGTGATAATACTGATTTGGAGACACAAGAGAAGGAGGAAGAAGCAAGCTAACTTCAGAATCAGAAAAACAACTTGTCAGTGCAGAGCTGGGCTTAGCCTTAGTATGGAGGTTATATGAATGATGGCCTTTATTTGGGAGGGAGTACAAAACAAAATAGCCTACACTTTTGGCATGAACTACTGCAAAAATGTATATTCTTTGAAGAAGTATTTTTAATAATTTTCTGACCTTTCACTTCTTTATGGCTATTTTTTAACATCTAAGGTATATATCCACATTTAGACCATCTGTGAAACGTGAAGTAGAGAAAAATAAAGCTCAGTGGAAAACTATGGGACCAGCAAAAGTTGCAGTGCCATCTCCAAAAAACTTTCTGCAGAAACATTCAAAGGAACCCAAGCTACCAGCAAGTAAGTGTAGACATGAAATATATGAAATGTAATGTATTTTTTTATTTTAAAATTGATAATATCAGTGTTGAAAGCAACAGTTATGGAGAATCAAATTTTTTTAAAATTTAAAATAATTTTTGTATGCTGGGGCAGTTTCCATTGTTCCTTTTATAGTATCTATGATACCAAAATTCTTTATTTTACAAAAATGTTTCTTATTTATTGTGTAAAATACTGAAACAAGCAACAAGGAGATTATCTATGTGATTAGAAAATACAGTAAGCATTTACTGTCATGTGGTACAAAACCAGCTGAAACATAAAGAAAAATTATATCTCTTTTGGCTGCAGCTTTTCAGATGTTGAAGATGTGTTGATGGTATGTTCTATCCTGCTGATATTTCAGTTTGTAATTATGTAGTTTAGATTTGTACGTCATTCTTTTCTGCAACTGATCATTAATATTAAAGTAAATAATATGAATGGGGGTATTAGAAGTGAAGTAATTGTTTTTAATGCTTGAAGAGATATGGGGAAAGTATGTGTGCCTTTCTTGATGTTATAAGCAACATACAGCTTTTACTCTTCAGCTCTCATTGTTGGCTCTTCATCCTGTAGCATTAAATTGGCTGGCAGTGTTCAAAGCATAGAAGTTTTTGGAGAGCTGCATGTCACAGAAATAAGAAAACTGGAATATTTTTTTGCAAAATGCATCCTATCTTTGGGCACAAAGCATAATTCTAGGTATAACGAGTTGGCAGTTCTAATGTTCAGCCTCATGGCTGGTTCTGCAAGGGTGGAGTGACCTTCTTAGTGCTGCTGGAGTTCTAAGGACATCGCTGTCAGAATTTGTAATTGAGTTCTAAAGTTTCAGCTTGAAATTGTTTTTAGCCTGGAAAAACAGAAAAGCTTAATGTACAGTATTAAAAAAAAAAGTTGTCTAAGAGAATGTAGGAGTCCAGCACCCAAATTTGTGTGGCACACGCAAATGGCTTTAGCACTGAAAATACAGGCTGTCCCAGGAGGCTTTGGAGGCTTAATGCCTCAGGCAATATGGATTATTAGAACCTTAAGGTAAGCTTTAGTCCCAGAGGTTCTGTAGGCATCCTGGGTCGTTTTTGAATGAAATCTTCACATTTTCAGGACATCTGAACAGCGTTCAGTATACTGGCATGACATCTGAGCATGAATGCTTCCAAGCTCAAGACCTTGTTAAATTACCACACTAGTGTTTTAGATGGGCATAGGAAAGAAGGTTGATTCACCAATAATTTGGAGCAGTCTGTAAGATCCCTTTTAAGTACTTGTATTATAAAATCAGTGTTATCTACTTCAAATTTGCTATATATTGAGATAGAGCACTCTGACCCATTTTTCTCAGAGAAGTAGCTCACAATATTTCTATTTCAACTTGTTGATTCAGGGCTTCATAGTATCAATATATGCTTGGGTGTTTGCATTTGGAGTCAATGTACCAGAGCCTCAAAATGACTATGACACATCATAGCTTTGATCCAGACTAGTAATTCCATTGCCATGATTAGATCCTAACAGATCTTGAGAAGGAACTGTATCATTAACTCAGAAAGTTCTTGTACCTTTGTTGGATGGAATTTCATACCTACCTCAGAGAAGTTACACTGCTATATCACCTCTTTTAAAGCATGGCACTTTCATCACTTGGAATTTAACCAGTTATCAGTTGTCTAAATGGGATTATGGCATTGTGTTTATGGTATCTATGCCACCTTCAAAACTGGTTTGATCCAACTAGTTAAAAAATAGATTGCAAGGACGGAGCAGAAAGATTAATTTTTTTTTCCTTAAAGTCTGGGATAGTGTCATTCTTTTAGAGTCTGATTACTCACCACTTCCTTACAAAAGGTATGTTTCCTAACCTTAAGCTGAATCTTGTTTTACTGAACTCTGGCATTCGTTTTAACCAAACTTGTTTGCTGGCTCCAGAAGAAGTGGGGGCTCCCAAAACAGCACGTGTGCACCAGTGTACTGCAGATAAGGGTGAGCCAGTGCTCACTGAGAAGCTTCAGAGATCTTGTTTCCAAAAGGACATCCTAAGAGAAACAGAGATTTAAGTCTGTGTTTCCTACAGTACTAAGTTATGGCAAGCTATCAGGTTGTAAAAACAAAACCCAGGAAAGCACTGGTTTGTGGGGTCAGTATCAGGAAACCAGCTGTTGTAGGAATGAGCTCTGTCACTTGTGACATTACACTTATTTTCTGCCAAAGAACATCATGAACTCAGACAACCTGAATCAAATCATTATCTCTGATAATGACTGTGAGTTAGAATTCTATCTAGTGGGAAATATGGTGGGAAATGAATTGTCTTTTGTCATGCACCTGAAGTGAGACTACTCAGGAGACTACTGACTTTCTGTTGGTGCCTTGGAGAAAAGATTACACTAACAAGGAAGAGTTTCTATATTCTCTGGAGAAAGGATTGTGAGAAGCTGTTTATGAGCGTTAGGGAGCAGCAAGAGCAGGGCTTTTCCTTAAGGGGAGGTGAGCCGAGCCAGAAATTGAGGGCAACCACAATGCAGGTTGGGCAATGACCTTACCAACAGGGTGCAGTCCCACCGCACCAGAGGCAGGCAAGCAGAGTCGGGTGGTGATGAAAATGTGTCCTATCAATGGCCTAGTGACCATCAGGCAAGATGGGGTAATGGGCCAGGTCAATCCACTGATTCCACCTAGCTCTTCAGGAATAGGACTAGGGGCAGATGTGGCTGAGACAGCTCAGCCAGGCACTGACAGCCCAGGGCTGAGCTGAAATGGGGCTCCTGAGCCCAAGGGTGTGGGGTGGATGCCCCAGGTGCAACTGGGCAGGGCCGCTAATGCCTAAGGGCCCTGACAATGAGCATCTCTAGTAAAAGTAGTTTTAGTTACATTTGAAAAAAGTCCTGTACTGCTGCAGTTAAGAGGAAATGAGTGGCATATTATAAGGAAAAAAACAACACAGTATTTCCTAGGTTATGAAACTTCTGTTATGCCAAACAAGCATACTCATTTTCATCCTAGTACTTTCCCAGTCAATTCTTTCATTGTAGATACAGTTGGTTTCTATTTTTATGTAATTTTGTACATAATTTTTTCCTTTTGAAAAATGTAATAACATTAAATTGCAAAACTATTCATGGTTATTGCTGAGAATTTTTACATGCTCAATTCACAGGAAAAAAAGAACAGGATAGTAAGAAATTGCCTGCATTATCAGTGCCACAGAGGACAGATCACCCAGTTATGGGAATTCAGAGTAAAAAGAATTTTATAAATACAAATGCAGTTGCTGCTATCACAGGATTGCCTAAAAAGCCTCAACCTATTTATGTTGATAGAAGACAGGGAGATAAATATCTGCTTGAAACTTCAGGACTTGTTCCAAAATATATTAAAAAAAAGGTAAGTTTTATTAAATTATAGTGCAAATACTAGTAGCAATGCCTATTTGAGGTTCTCTGTTGCATTCTCCTATGAGATGTTTATGATTCTTTTTGAGATGTTTAGATACCACTGCTGTTTGTGGTAGACCTTTGAAATTCATCAAGGAGAAATCACTGGCACTAGAGTTGTGCCTTGCCTTTGCTCTGTATTCACTTGCTTATGCTGTTAGCAAAAAATTGGCAGAATGATGCTGCTAAAGCAATAGCATATGTGTTGCATTGGGAACCCAGGGAGTATCTAATGGGGAAACAAATGGAGTTCTGTGATGAATGAATGCTGGCTCTTTTGGAAAGACAGGCAGGGAAGCAGAGGAGGGGTTGCCCTTTGGTTGAAGGAGCTGTTCAAATATATGGAGCTCTTCTATGGAATTGGCAACAGGCTGGTTAAGCTTGTGGGTCAGGATCAGAGAAAAGGCCAGTAAGTGTCAAAAGTGTGTTTGCTATGGACCATCCAGTCAGGTGAGGAACTGGATGAAATCTCTTTAAGCAACTTGAGGAAATCTTCAGATCACAGTGCAGCTTCTTATGGAAGACTTCACCCTCCTTGATATCTGCTGAAAGGACAACACAATGGGATGAAAGCAATCCAAAAAGGTTCCTGGAGCATGTCAGCAACAGCTTCTTAACACAGATGGTGGATGAGCCAACCAGTGGTCATACTCTTCCGGTTCTGCCACTTACAAATGAGAAAGAACTGTTCAGAGGTGTGATAATCAATAGTAGTCTTGGTTGCACAGGCCATGAAGTAGTTCAAGATCCCCTCCTTCTCGGGGAGGCAGGTAGTAGTGTACAGACCCTGTACTTCAGGAGAGCAAACATCAACTTATTCCAGGGAACTAGTGTGTAGGACCCTGTGGGAGACAGCTCTGAAAAGCAAAGGAGCTTACGAGAGCTGGCATGCCTTTAAGGACAACTTCCTTCAAGCACAAGAACAGTCCATTCCACTACTCAGGAAAACAAGGTGTATCAGGAGTCTGGCTTATCTAAACAAGTAATTCATGACAGAGCATTATGCAGAAAGAGACACGATGTGACAAAACTCATGGCAGAGAAGATGCAAAAAAGGGAACCTGCAGCCCTTGCAGTACCTTTGCACAGCTAAACATATATATATATAAACAATGCTAGTCATAGTGCTACCCAACACTAAAAGATTTGCGAATCATTTAGGATTTGGTAGAAAGAAGGTAGACTCTGTTACCTTCTGGCAGAGCTAGATAGGCTTCATTTTACAAAGGATAAGGCAAAATAGATGTGTTCCCCCAAGTATATCTGGGATATTCAGACATTATTTTTCCTCCCAGAAACACAATTCTGCCACATCCAGTATGGGATAGTTTATCATTCCTAACTAGTCCAATTTTCGTGTATGTGTTAATAGTATTCACTCTCTTGCAATGTTCAGCAAAAATCAGGACAGAGGAAGATCTTTCAAAGAAAGTATCTAAGGAATGTGTTTCAGAACGTAGAATCTGACACCATATAAAAATGTAAAATAGCTTGCTGTCATTAACAGGTTTCAAACCCCTCATTCAACCATCAGTTCTTATAATTAGACGTTTTGGTTTCTGGATTCTGTTGTCTTCCAAGGTTGCAAAAAGAAATTGAAGGGAATTGTTTATGCGTTTTGCTCAGGCTACAAAGACAATCACGTTTGATACTTCTAAGAACATAGTGATTTAAGATTTTATTGCTCAGTGGCAGAAAATTCCATTTCAAGTTGTCTTTGCAAATGTAATATACTATGGATGACAGGTATGTCTTTGTTTCCTTCTTAAAAGCACGTATAAGAAACTTCATCCTTACCCTTATAGGATTATGGTGTTACACCAAAATATGTAACACAGAGAAATGAAGAAATGAAGAGAGCTCAGAAGGAATATGAGGCCGGTATCTTGGAGCATCTCAAGAAAAGAGCCATGAAACAGCTATCTGATGAGGAAAGGAGAAGTCTTCTGCAGGTGCATATTTTGATTTAGTGTAATTAGTAACATGTACAAAAGATTAATAAGGTAATGTAAGTCCATATAAATAATAAAAGTATACTAGATTTTTAAGCTAGGCAAATGAGTTAGCTACTTTTTCGCTAGATGGAGCTGTAGAACAGTTGTAAACTGAACTGAAGGGAGCTGATTTAGCTACAGTTTTAGTCCAGTTTTACAAGTACTTCAATTCTGTTAGATTCCTATCCCCCTTAATGACTTGGAATTTCAGTGAAACTTCAAAGGAATGCAGAAAATCACCTGTATGGATTTAGTGACAGTTGTGACTCTCTACTTGTGAATCATGGAAAAATACAAATTGGTTGTTGGGCTTTTTTTCCCCTGATGCATAACATTGCCACTTTTATTGGCAGTTTCTATCTTCACATTGTGACCTCACCGATTAAAGCATAAGGTCATGCTTTAAAATGTGGTGAAAACAGAATTAAATTGCAATATATTCGTAGAACTATGACTGGAAAAATTGTATTTTGTCAAGCTGTTTTGGATACTGTCTTTCATACAGTTTTTATTGCACAAGATTTTCTAAAGAGAAATAATACCATAAAAGAAGTAGAGCGGAAAAGAAACATTTTAAAAGTATATCCAATCCTTGAACTGGAGTTTCTCGTGACCACATTTTAGCCAAATTTCCTATGAAAATGAGGCTTACATTACTGTGATATCTATCAGTCTGTCCCTTAATAACTTGATCTTCTCAGCCACTGAAACAAATTAGCAGATGGATGGACATCTCCAAGATGCTAAATTCCCACAAAAAAGCCAACAGAATATCTAGTGAGAAAACACCATGTCTAACTCACTTGCAAAGGTTAACTGGTTAATCAGCATGATCCAAATAGCGAGCACAACGGTGTCTCTTGCTTATGCAGCAAGCAGTAGAAGCTAGGAAGGAGTACGGGAGAGAGGTGAGGGTATTGCATTAACAGCAATATAAAGAACATAACAGCAAGGGTGAAGGTTAAGATATTTTTATGGTGGGAAAGGCATGGGACAAGCTGATGGTCCAGCAAGTTAACCATGCAGCAAAAATGTATGTGCAAAAAGGTGTGTGAGTTCAGCTGCTCACAGTTCTGCATTTAGTTTGATTAGAATTACGTTCTATATTTTTTAAATACAAGAGTGCACTGAAATATTTTTTAACTGAAAAGTTTGTAGATTGTTTTTATTAACTCAGTATTTTCTTTTAAATTTTTCAAAAAAGTTTGCTCTTTCATGGGCCAGATTGCTTATACTGTTGTATTGTCAGGAGGAATTACTGTCCCCAGGGTATGTGGCTTCTGCCCAGTGCTCAGCTGTGGACATATGGGAATTCCTGTCTTTTAAAATAATTGACATTGCTAGTGAACACATGTGCACTATCTGATTTGAAAGAATATGTGGCAATAGATGTCTGAGAACAAAATCAAGCCTCATGAACTTACAAAAATAATGGGAAATAATTTGTGCCAACATTTTTTGAACTCTCTCTCCATTATGCTTACTTTGGTTGGAATTTTAGGAGAATAAAAGTGTATGTTGATAAATGCAGTACATATTTCTCACTGATCCAGCATGTATTAGAATTCCTTATATAGAGTTAGATACTCAGTTTGTGATCTAGCCCATAGCAATAGCGGTCAGCATATTACATGGCTGTTGGAGGAGCTGTGAGGGAGATTTTTGTGTAGGGAGTCATGATCTGCTTTTGATCTCTCCACTCTGTAGGGATAGAGTAAATTATGATGAGTGCATGCTCTAATGTGTTTTAAAACTCAGTGGTTTCAGTGATTTCCAAACCAGTTTTTACTTATGTACACAAAGAAGAATTATTTAAAAGAAGCTATGAATGACTATTCTATGAAAGTTTTGGAAATACTGTATTTATTTTCATGGCTATATATTTATAAACTATACCTTACGCCTGGTAGACTAGGAGCTTTATTTAAGTACTTTACAGCCTTGGATTGCAAAGACAAGTAGCATTACAAGACAGTAAATAAATAGGCTTGTTGCTCTTAGTTTTACATGTTGAGGTAGGGTTTTTAAATTTTTGTAGATATTTGTATATGAAGCTTGTTGGAATAACCTTTATGGACAATACTTAGATGCTTAATAGAAATATGCAAAAGCACGAATTGCTATGCAATAAATACACTGCTTTGAATCAGTAAAATATTAGTTCATATTAAAAAGTGAGTTTTTCTTAGTATTGGCAGGGAGAGGTCATTTTTTTCTGTTAAATCAATTCATACAGTGGACAAAATCAGACAAGTTTTTAAGCACAAGAGTCCTTGAGTTCTGAAATAGAAGCAACAATCTTCAAAGCTAAATATGTATTAAGAATAATTCCTCTAAATTTAACTTCAGTATGTTAATCAATTAGCTAGTCTGGGAGAAAACGTGCTTGACAATAGTGGAGAAGAAGGACATGAGGATGGAAATCACAATGTGCCATAAAATCTGTGTGTCAGCTGAATCCGGTTTTAGTTATGGAGGAGAGTTGAAAACTTTAGTTCCCAAGAGAGTAACGGCAATTCTTCATTTTTGAAGATACTTTCTGATCTCCTCTAAGGAAACAGAACTGAGAGCCAAAAACGTTTTGAAAAGTGTTTTCTCACTGATAGCCATATTGTATTATTTACTGATTGCTGTATGAGTTCCTTGTAGTAGGTGTGATTATTAAGTTCACCCATATAGTTTTCATGAGGACGTTTGATGCACTGAATAAACTCTACTAAATCCTCATATACGCATGTGTAGGATGTGTAGATTTTGATTATCCTCTTGAGGAGACAAAGTAAGAGCAATTGTTGCAGTAATTGTGAGGATGTAAAGACAAGTTTTAAATTTTATTTTTCTACCACAGTCTGGTTCCATTCAGCATATATTGGTGGATAAAAGATTGCCTCCAATATTCAATTAACAGGTTTATAAGTACATTTCAGTTGATTGCATGGGTTTTTTTAGGCAGGGTTTTAGTCTTGGGCTTTTAATATGGAAGATACAGTTCACTTTATCTAGTAAGGTAATCCTTTGCATAGCAGCATTCAAGAGAGGTAGCAGTTATTGAAATTATTGTTGATAGGGTCAGTGACAGCTAGGTTTTTTAGTCGAAGTGATAAATAAGTTGCCTATAGATGTTATTGTAAATGTAGATTAGGAAGGGAATGCAATTATTTAGAATTTTTTCAAAGTAGTTCATAGAAGTTAAAATATTGTGAGATTGGTTTGGTGTCCATGGCCTGAGCAAAGTCTCAATTATGGAAAATTAAGCTGGTGGTGAGATGAACTGAAACCACTGCTGAGTTTGGCTGGAGTTCCAAGTATTGGTACTCTTGTGATTACTTAAGGTAGGTAACACCACTGTGTGTGACGTCGTGATATCTGTGGTAGCCAGGTTGCTGTTTATGGGGAAGTGGTTTCTGTAGTGCAGTTTGTAAGATATTTCCTGTTGCATTTTGGAGAAAAGAAACCATTTGAGTGATATGAGTTTTGAGGCAGCTTTTATGAATCCTAGTAGTTCCTCAGTGAGCATACTAGCATTAGATACAACGGAGCAAAGTTGCCTACCTGTGGATCATTGAAAGCACAGAAAGTCTCTTATACAGAATAAGGAAGAGTCACTTCATTTACCTTGTGCAGTTTTTCTTGAAGATACTGAGGACTGGAAATGAAGTGTACAGGCTTCCTTGAGTTCCTGGTAGGCTACAGAGTTCACTGTTAGTCACACTGACATACTTTTTTTTCAGTTTAGCATCTTTGTAGCTCATCCCTCATTGACTAGTTTAATTATTGTTTTGTTACTTCTTAAAGTCTGTAATTTTTTGTCTCCAAGGCATGGAGCTTTTTAAAGACCATTCCTTACATTGCATCAGAATGAGTCAAAATTATTTCTGTTGCAACTACTTTGACTTTTAAGCATTTAATTAATTTGGTCCAATTAAAATGATTAAACATTATCCATATGTTTATCTATTATTTTAACATTGCAGTGACACTTAGCAAATGCAATATTAACAAAAAACCCTAAGTAGTTTATGCGCCTATTATTCTTAATGAAGTAAGGTTTTCTCATATATTTCCTTTTCATGTAATGGCACTAGGGGCTGAAAAAGAACTGGGAGGAAGTGTATCGTGAATTTCAGCATCTTTCGGTAGAAATAGACACCATACCCAAGAAGATATATAAAGAAAAGCTGGAATCACAGATGAAACAACTGGAGCATGACATAGAAGTAATTGAGAAGCACAAAGTTATCTACATCGCAAATGAGTAAGGACTGCTTTTCAGATATTGCCTCTTTCCTCCTTTTCGTTTTCTCTATCCCTTCATCTCCAAGAACCACCCCCCTAAATTCTCAGAAGAAATTGACACCACCAACTATTCAGAAGGAAATACTCAACTAATATAAGTATGTAGCTTCTTAGAAAAGTTGTTACCTATAGCTCTCATCTGTATAATTCACAAAACATTTTGAAATAAAATTCTTAATTAAACTTTGAGTATAAAAACATGAATTTAATCTATTATTCTTTGTAATTTTTATTCACTACTAAGATTTCTATAAACATCATACAAAAAGCATAAAAAATACTGTTTCATATGTTTGGAGCACTTCTTTCCTTGCATAGCCAAAACAAAGTGAAATAATTGGCTGCTGAAGACAGCTTGGTAAATATAACTTCAGGGTGGGATGGCTTCTGGACTAGTTATTAAAGAGCTGTTGCACTTTTTACTTAAAAGCTTGAGCGTTTGTACTGCTAAACAGCTTGGCTTCTGCATAACATTTTGTGTACTCATGTTTTGTTACCAAAACCAATTTTTATAGTGGAAGCCCATAATAATATAGACTTCATGCAATACAGATACCATATGTAGCTTGCTCTGTGTGTTTATGTATAAATAATTCTGTAATACCATAGTAAATCTACAACTAAAGTAGAAAAATGTGTTTTGATTGCTATTATGTGTGTAATGTTAGAATGAAAGCAATATACTAGCATGTGAGTCAAGACCTAGGCAGAAATTATATCAGTACGCTATACTGCAATTATTTGCATGAAAAGAAAAATTGTTTTTCTTTCCTACTGCTTAACCTTTGCTTCAGAACACAGCTTTTTTTGTATGGTATCAATCATTACCAACAGCAGCTGTTGTGACATCATAGTATCTGACATCAGCAGAGGATGAAGTAAAAAATTTCAAATGAACTATTAAAAGCCAAATTTTCACGTACATTAAGTTCTTTTCATAAATTTGTCAGGGAATGGCTTTGAAGACTTCACAGTGATTCTAGGCTATATTTCTTGTCCATCTTAAACTTGTCTATGACATGCGCTAGAAAAGCGTGGGTGAGCAGGAATGTCTATTTTGTTCTTTGTAATTTATTGTTAAGTAATCATGTTTATTTTTGAAAGACATAAGCTGGAAGAAAGCTGTGGGTTTGTAAAATATGAATTTCATTTACTGTTTACTCAAAAGAATGACTTATACTGTATATTTTAACAAAACCACACCAATTCTAAGCACTTAATAACATGTCACGTTATCTCCTAGTGAAGTACAAGATGCCCTTCTTAAGAAATGCAGTATAATCAAACATAGCTGTTTCTTGTGGCTTAAAATAAAAAACTAGATTTGACTCCAAACCAGCGTGCATTCCCACTGCCTCACTCTCAGCTTTTAGTTACTCGTAGACCATTTGGCTGAGTTAGGTTGATGAGGATCTGGATTTGGTTCTTCCATTTATCATCAGTGCTAACTTTAGGGAAGTGCAAAGCAGGTGATGGCCTAGCCCAAAATTCGGGACAAGCAACTAGGCCACACTTGGAAACATTCATCATTCACCAGCAATAATGACTTCTTTTTAAAATTGTCAGAAGGATATTAGTATATTATTGGGAAATCAGGAAGTGAACGGGAAGGGATGCAAAAAGTATTCCCGCTTAACAGGAGAGGGAGAGACTAAAGCCAGTGCACTTCCGCAGCTGAGTGTCTACTGTCTGTCACTAGTGTCTTTCAATAGCACTGTGGGGGTTTTTTTGCATAAACCTCATATAGCGCTTTGCAGGTAGCTCTGCTGCCACACGGGATGTTCCCCTCTTGATACATGTGAATAGCTTCTGTCACCCTATGGGGAGGTTATAACTCCTTCTATCTATTTTGATGTGTATTCCATGCGACCTACCAACACTTCTGATTATGGAAAAAATATATTATAATGAAAACCATTGAAAATACACACAGAAGGATAACATTCTTACCCTTTAACTCTCTCTGGGAAGTTTGACAAAATAAATTTACAGAATCCAAACTATGTAACTGTATTTCCATGTTCAGAAAATGCCAATAATTGAAGGTGTAATGTTCATGAATCAACTAGTATGTACCATCAGTAGAACTAAAGCAAAAAGGTGAGTAAACTCAATTGTTCTGATAGAATTGTTCCTTCATAAATGATACTAAATATTAACAGAAGCAAGTCTCAAACTGTTTTTATTGGGCAGCTTTTCTCCAACCTGTGTCTTCAGAACTGTAAGTCCTGAATGATAATCTGTTTCTGGAACTCCCTAGAGTCAAGTCAGGTTGACACCCAGTGTGCAGACCTGAGAGCAGAACTTTTGCTGTGATATTTTGAAACAAAAGGAAATTATAATGTTCTTCAGTTTAAAAAATGTTTTAAGCTGTCTTCTTGGTTAAAAAAAAAAGACAGTAATGTATAAAAACATAGCATCTTGGACATTTCTTAACATCTCAATTTAACATTAAGATGTCTCTTGTGACTTCGATTTTACTTACAGATTAATTAGTTTTCATCAGCAGGAGCTTCCAACTTCCCTCATCTTTACTACGGCATTTTTACTGTGACACAAGCTGCTGGAAGTTTTACTGGGGTTTTCAAATATATCCTGAGCACTTGCTGAGGGTGCAAGTTGTGTAACTAAGCAAATGTGTCGTGTGTAATTCAAAGTTACTGGTGCCGATGGTAACCTTTCTACTGACTGACCAGCTGCACATGAGTAAAGAAAAGTAAAAAAACCTCAAGACTGATCAAATGCTTTCCTACAAACAACTGCATTCAGAATAGATGAAAAACTTCTGTTTTTCCACACTTGGTCTTTCCAAATCATAATTTTCAGGTGTTTCACCTTCACAGATAGACCACAGAATTATACAAGCCCTAGCTGGAATAGGGTTTAGTCTTCAGAAATTCAATACATTTTTGCAAATATAAAAGTGAAATTTCAATAAAATTGTTTATTGTGGGCTATCGCTAAAACAGATCCAAATCACACAAGCTGTGGGACTTAACACTTTTCTGTAGTGAAGTTTGAACTTCACTCTGCAAAACCAGCCACCTCTATGGGAGTTCTGTCCACAGGCTAAAAAGTAGCATTAGCAGTTGAAACGTTCTCTAAATTCACTAGTCAATTACTGGTAATCAATGAAATAATGAGAAAGAAAATCATCCAAATGCTTCTAGTACTTCATAATTATTTTATCAAACTGGTATTTTTAAATGGTCAATATTAAATTGGATAACCATCACAAAACATGCTAAACGCAGGATGAATGCTCTGTTGGTCAGTAAGTGTTGTGTTGCCACAAACTGAAAATATTTCCTGTTGGAAGTTGTGCATGACAAAACTGTGTATCTATTTTTTAAAAATAGCAACATGAAATTATGATAAATATCTCACTGTCTGTTCTTCAGAATGAAACTATTTATATCCAGGAAGGAAGGGATCAGATATGGCATCGTCACAAACACAGGGAGTTCCTGATTGTATGGCTCCGATAGAGCTGCCTCGAGCGAGCGTCAGATCTGACAGGAGCATATGGGCTCCATGTGGCTGGTCTCAAAGCACAGTGGTTTCTTGGGCTCTGCATGCATTCCTGGGGACTAAGTCTGGGAGAGTTCCTCAAAATCTTCCTTGCTGAAGGGTAACCTCATTCCCCTCAAAAACAGTAAGGGCAAAATTCTGTGGGAGAAATAGTATGGGAGAAACTCCTCATCGATTTAATTTTCCTTAGTCTCTGTAGGTGGGTTTTATTATAGGAGGGCACGTTCTGGCCCTTTGTATATTTTTGTGAAAAATTGGCGTCACAAACTGCTGCTGTGATCCCTCTGCCACAAAGCTAAGATCTAGCCCTCTCGCTAGCATATGTTTCAGGGAAAACAACATATCTAACAATTTCAGCCCTAATGAAGGCAGACATCCTTCAGATAAGAAAACTTCACATATATGCAGATTAATGGGAGTCCTAGATAAATGCTAGTCCTAGTCAACGCTTTCATCCTCGGCTTTATGATGCTTATAATATTAATAATATAATTACAGGACAGACAGGTGGCAAAACCTATTATTAAGGTTGCCTGACATTTCCCATAGCCAGGGCAGCCAGCTGCTGAGCTCTGCAGCTGATGGGGATCACCCACCCCAGTAACTAGTGTATTGAGCCTGACCAAGCTAAGGAGGACTGGCCATTTCTCCCCATGAGTAGACATCTGAGGTAGTCATGTATACTTGACGGCTGAACGCCAAGATTGTAATTTTTTTTCATTCTGACTTGATCTTGCTCCAGCTCCTTTTTGTTATGCAATGTTATGCAAACAAAATGTGAGTAAATTCAGGGTTTTCATCCTCCAGGCTAAGCGGTGGCATTGTGGTAGGACTCCAAGGTGAGATGAGTTTCTTCTTTGCATTTTTTTCTTTGCTTTTTAAAGGGTGCTGATGTAAATATGACTTCCATTTCACCAAGTTATAAAAAAAATACTTCTTTTTTCTAGACTGTACCTCCAACAAATGGTTGTAGACGAGCAGGCATAGCCAAATAGTAGATTATATTTATGTCAGCTGGTCTTGTGGATGTCGCTGTGAGGATTAACTTCTGTTCAGTCACAGTAGTAGCCTGCGTTGTTAATTCATTATTCCATGCCTGCCTCCACACTGACTCCACAGCATGGAGAAATTCACACAAACATGCAAACACTGGAATAACTTTGTCTTCAAATCCTTCCTCAAATGTTCTTTGCAATGGTGCCCACCAAAAATTTAAGAACAGCTGAGCTGGTGGTGAGCTGAGATTAGGGCTTATCTCGCTGACCTGTGCAGTTTCCTTGAACTCCCCTGGCACTGTAGCCAGTTGTTTCTTGTCTTAGGCTTAGATTGTTATCTGTCATGTGGATCATCTTTTCCTCTCTTTGCTTAGTGTCTGACACAATAAAATTTTTGTCTGTAAGTAGAGCTCCTACGTGCTTATAATAATAATAAA